AATGATTATTTATTATAAAGTTTTTTTAAAATATATATATATATATATTATAATATTATATTAAAAATTTATAATTAAATAAAATTAAATAAAATATAATTATTACAAAATCTATTACTTATATATATATTCATGTGTATATATATAGTTTATTTTATAGTTTTTATTTTATTTATTATTTAATAAATTAATTATATTTAATATATATTTTATAATTTTTTTAATCAAGTTAATGAATGACAATAAACTAAAAATATTTTTAAAATATATTTTAATTAAAGTATATTTTTTATGAATAATTAAATTAAAAGTAACTTTTAAAATTTTATGATGATTATCTTTAGTGATGTGAAGTTAAATACTCTAAATTAATATAATAGAAGAGTGATAATATAATACTTCTATCTCTATGAAATAAAAACATAATTTATATAACATTTTAACCTATAAAAGGTGAATAATGTAATACTTACATCTCTAAAAAAAATAAAGAATAATTTATATTATCAATATTAAATTAAAAAATTATATTATATATTTTAACATAAAAAATAGGATAATATGATACTCTCATCCATTAAAAAATGATAACATGATTTACTCTTTAAAATTTGAAAATGAATTGTGGTTGATAATTGATCATAGAGATAAAACAAACAATGGAAAATGTGTCTTCCAAACAACTTGAGGCTTTTGCCTGAAACAGTGGGACACCAAAGCCCAATAACAATATATGGCCCAAACAAGTGAAGAGATTCGCGTAACCATCTAAGCCATCGATCCATTATAAGTGAAGAAATTGTGGCTGCTTGAAATTAATATTGCAAGCTTGCCAAAAAGTTTGTGAATATGTTTCTATATGACAACTATAAAATCATTGCCTTCATAAAAAAAATAAAAAATCATTCACAAGACTCCTGAATATGTCTTCTCTTTAGATAAGTTTTTCATAATTACTCATAGAAAAGAAATTAAAAAATAATCTTATTTCATTAACAAAAAATAGTTTGAGTATAATTTAAGTATAAATTAAGTTTTCATATCACCTTCTCCAAAAAGCTAATTTTAGGTTGAGTAAATTAATTTTAGTTTATAAGAGAAACTTATTTTATTTTATCTTTTCAACTAATTTTTTTAATAGACTTTTGTAAATGAAATATGTCAAATTTGACTTGACTCAACCAAAAAAGATTTTCATTAGTTCTGATATCGAAATTATATAACCTAATCCATGTATCACCCTCACCTCTACCTTTGTACCTGGACCAACAGGACTTTAAGCAATTCAAAATAAATGATAGCAATATATAAACTTTGACAAAATTAGTAGATAGTTGGATCTTTTAAGTATATTATCAAGAGTTTGATTTTTATCCACATGAATGAAAAATCTTTTTGGAAGAGACAAAAATCATTTTATTGACCTTTATTATGTATTAAAAATATAACATACATTTGTTATAAGAAAGTTGTTATTTGTTATTTTATTATGTATTAAAAATATATCATACATTTGTTATAAGAAAATTGTTATTTGTTATTTTATTTTGTCATCATTGTTATTATGCATATTCCTTCCCTAGATTATTATAAATAGACATGTATAACAGTAAAAAAAGGGAAAAAAGGAGAATATACACACTTTTTTTTCTTTCTTGATCTTATTTCTTAGAAGGTTGCTATATCCTGATTCAATGTACTCACATTTTTCACATATTAAAGAAAAAAAGTACAAATCTTGCAAGCCTTCGGACAGAAAGATTAATTAACTAGATCAAATTGGATATAAAATACATGATCACATTTGTTGAAATTTGACGAAAAAAAATAGCTTTAGTAATTGGTATAATTCCTATTCCATGAAATTTGACGAATTCACATTTTACTAATCAATTATTTAATCATACATGAGAAAAAGAAAAAAAGTAATTAGTTGAAGTAAGGTTGTACCTAGGAATGGGAAAGATATTCGCAATTGTAATATCCACGATTAAAACTTGGGATAGATAAAAAAATTGATATTTAAATAGATATTTATAAAAATAAATAAACAAATATATTCCAACTCATTAATAAATAAGAACGAGAACAAGTATTAAGGCACCTGCCCTCGAGTATATGTTAAATAGTCATTGTAATAAAACTATTTAAATGTCTTTCTTTAAATATATAATTGAGTGTAATTTTATAAATTTTGTAGTTTTATTCTTTTAATTTATTAACTTTTGTTTAGACAAAGTGAAAATATTATAACTTTTAACTTTTGTTTGGAACTTACTATATAAAAATTCATTTCAACTTATGAAATTGAATTATTTTAATTTATTTATTTTTGTTTAGATTTATGAGGTTGAAGTAATTTAACATTTAAATTTTGTGTAGAATATTTGAATAATTTGAATTTTGACTTTTAAATTATCAAATTGAAGAAATTGTTAAAACAAATAAAAGGATATAGGTAATAATATTTTTTAAAGTAAATATTTACATTTACTCATGAATACTGCAAATATTGAAAATGTTCAAGATATTTTTCTAGTGTAAAATCTTTTTATACTGGCAATCAATTATATCTTTTAATTGTATCATGTCACTGTTAAAAATAATTGTATTTACAATGACATGACACAATTAAAGAATATAATTGGTTGATAGTGTAAAATTTTTTTTACACTGACAATGTATATGTGATTAACTCTATGTACTTAAGAGTTACTCAAGTAGGGTGTAAGACATGTATTGAACAAATATTTATTCAACAAAACCAGTAGTGGAAACCTTTAAGTGCACTTACTTCACTCCCTTACCATTTCTAGTTTTATCTATCATGTAAGTAATTTTTTTACATAAAATTTTGTTCCCCCTCTTTTTCTTCAACCATTTGAATTTATTAAAATCTCTTTAATTGGAAACATTTTTCTTTTGCTTTGAGAAACTAACTCTTACTCTTACTAAAAATAAAAAATAAAAAATAATTTTAAAATGTAAAATGCGAGCTAATGGTCTAACATTGCCCAATAAAAAATAGTGACATTAGGGATCATTTTTCTTTTCATAGAAAATGTATCCACATTTTGGGGTCCTTGGGGAGAATTTATTTCCCTATCATGCTTGTGGATCCAACCGGTTTGAGGAATTTCTTCTTCCCAATTATTTGCAACATGAAAAAAGAGTTTGGTTGGTTAGGTTGTAGGTCTTTTCACAACTCAATGATAATTGATTTCTAGTGTAATTTCTGTATTTTTTTTTGTTGAAAACAATAATAAAGATTCTGATTGAAAACTTAGCATTGGCCTTATATTGCAATTATAGCATCATGTGTTGGATAAGGGCATTTATGAGCATACTATTCATTAATTAATATGAAGAGTCAAGCAACCATGCATGGGATTCTACTAGCTTTTAGACTACCAATGAATTAAGAAGATGCAATGATGTTAAAAACGTATAGATGTACTTCAACTACTTTGTTTTCTTGTGCCTTTTTCTTTGCCTTTAAACTTTATTAAGAAAGAAGATCATAAAGGGGCAAAATAAAACTTAGGGAACACTCTAGCACATTAAGCTAACCACCTAGAAACAAAAAAATCAAGAAAAAAATTTCCATTTGGGGAACATCAAATAAATTTGTATCATATTTCGTTAGCATTATCTATAGCTTACAATTAGTTGAATTGGAAAATACAGTGTTTAGAAAGAATTTCGAGAAGGAAAATTATTAATATATATCAACAAGATACATTTTTTATTTTTGGTTTTTTAATATATTTTATTGTGTGATGAATTTTGGATAGTCTATCTTTTTTTGAAAGAAATTATATAAAATTTACTTAAAAATAAAGTATGCTAGAGTGGGTTGTTAGCATTTTGTTTTAGTTAGTATTAGGTGTGCCACCTAAGTTCAATGGTAGTTATGATTAGATTCTCAAAAAAAAAAAAAAAGAAGAAAAGAAATCCTTAAACACAATCTTACTCACCTTAAATATTATGATTCTTTCATTCAGTGTCTTATTCTTAAAAGGTTATAACTTATTTCTAGTATTTTTTTTTAAATCATCTGTTTGTTTTGTATGTTAAACGTTATTTTAATAAATCCGTTTAGTTTATTTAAATATCACTTTTTTTTTTCATTTAATCCCTTTAAATATTAAAAGTTCGTTATTTAGTCTTCCATTTTTAAGAGACACATAAGCACTTAATAGACAACATAAATAGAAAAAAAAAGTGGAAAACTAACAAAAGAAATGACTACACAAGAATGAAAGGAAAAAAAGAGAGAGATAGAGAGAAAAAAAAAAAAAAAAAAAGAGAGGATTACATTATAATTAATATTTCAAAAATGGGTGGCTTAAAAAATTCAGAATATGCAAGGACAATAGTAATAAGTGGGTAAGGCACAACTCTAAATATATCATGACGAACATTTGTTCATGCCAACAACAAATTTAATCAAACAACAATTGTTGCATCTTGTAACCACACATTACTTGTGCCCCCACATGTCCCCAAAGTGTATGGAGAAATTACGGTTGATTGGTCCTTAGTCAAGGTGACATATCACATTTCCAAAAGCATACATAGATTTGACTAAAGTTTCAATTTTATAACCGTAATTGTGGTCTTTAAAAAGATTAGTAATCTTAACTATCTTTAATTAGTTATAAACTAATCAATGATGTGACGATAAGTTCTTCCATCCCTTTTAAGCAGGTTTTAACTTGGGATCTTATAAATGAAAAGAAGAATGTGATTGAAAGAAAAAATCTCTCAATCAAATTTTTTAATAAAAGTTAATTATAAAAAAAAGTCGATACAAATATCTTGTGCTAATAATATAATTATCAAATAAATAAAACTAGCAATGAATCAGCATACCCTCCCTCACCTACTTTCCAACCACCACCTCCGTCCAGCTAGAAGTTATCAATGAAAAATTAAAAAATTGCAACGGTAGTTAATAATCTAATACTCTATTTGATAAACGTGCAATGTCAGAATCCTCTTGAGGGAATAATAATGGATTACTTAGACTATAAGTTGCATTGCATAACAGAAAACAAACATTTTTTTCAAATAAAGATTGTAAATGGAAGAGTTTGGTCTCTCAATATATAGAACTGCAAAATTATCTCAAGTAAATATAGGAAATAGTGAATGAAATGGTATTGCTGTGAGATCTAACCATAACAAGCAATGTAACTTCTTCTTGGTGAGACTTTGAAATCTACCACCATTCCTGTGCAGTTTCAATTATATGGCCAAAACATGGAATTTGATAGGGTCACTGTTGATAAAGAACATTTTTCATCACAGATTCTGTTGCCTATCCACAACAGCAAAACTCACATACTAGCTACAAATTCTTGTGCACAAGCACATTCTTGGTAGTAAAAGAATCTTTGTAATCTCCCATCAAATCTCTGCAATTAGTATCAGGATGAGTGGCATCAAAGAAATTCTTTTGACATTGTCCATGTCACATGCTCACTTGTTACTTTTACCAAACATGAAGTCAGCAATTTGGGAGCCAGATTTGGAGTTCTAGAGACATATATGCAGCTTTAGTTTCAAGCTATAATTCCTCATTTGACTATAATCCTTAACATCAACATCAACTGTCCTTAAGTCTTTGTTTGGTAGTCAATTGCACATTTTGTAAGCAGAACACTTACTTTTTTTTTTCTTCCTAATTTCTCATATATAAATGTCACATTGTCTCCAACCACATCATTGTTAATGATGAACTTGAAGAATTTAAAGTGTGCAGTATCACTGCTGCCAGAGTGGCCAATACTACACAAAAAATCACAAAACCCCCCATAGACTCTAGAGCATAATTTCTTCAAGTTTCTTCAGGACTTGCCTTATGTTAGGTCTAACTGAGGGTGAAGGGGAGCAACAAGCCATAGCAAGTTGGAAAACTTTGAGAATGCATTCTTCTGTGACTGGAATCTTTTCATCTCTGCTGTTTCTGAGAAGAATGGCAGGGTGGTACAAATCAGCAATCCTGTGTCCAAGAACAGCATTTCTCATGAAATTTGGCAAATAGAAATCCTCATCAGGAGTTGGATGCTCATTGATAGGTTCCTTTCCTGAAAGCAATTCCAGCATGATCACACCAAGGCTATATATATCACTCTCCTCACTTGCATCCTTCATTTTGATGAGCTCAGGTGCCTTGTAACCCTGAGCTGCTGAACTTTCAAGCATTTCTTGGCCGGCGGTCGGATTTAGCAGAAGATGTAGGCCGGAATCGGAGAGGTACGGCTGGTAGGAGCGGTCCAAAAGGATGTTTTTGGACTTGAGATTTCCATGGATAATAGGCTTCTCCTGTGATCTGTGAAGATGCTCTAGTCCTTTGGCTATACCAATGGATATTCTGCATATGTTAGACCATTTGTAACACTCTCCATTTCCATCTGTTAAGCGAAATCTTTGATCAATAAATGGAATGCGTAATTCAAAACAAAAATTACTCTCTAAGGTGTGAATACTAGGAAACTAAAGAATCAAATAGCTAAGTTTGAAACTAGCACTTCTTAATGAAGATATTTCCTAGTCTAATTAAAATTCAATTACCAGATGAAGAATACCAATGCCATCATAAAGATCAAAACATAAGGCAGTTAATATTAAGTAGTGTTATTATCAGCCTGGAAAATGTAAATAAAATATTGAGAGAAAAAAAAGTAGTAGGCAGCATTCTGTCACAAGAAAAGAAAAGTCTATTCTGTTAAAGTTCACTTCAAACAAAAATTAACCATTGGAACCAAAAATGATATTTTCACATAAAAAAAACTTGCATAATTCCCATACTGCTTCCTTTTAAAATAATAAAACAAATAATTCATAATCCAACACAACATTCTCTCCACTCACTGTGTAAAAATGATGTAACTATTCTGCTGTGCAAATATCATTTGCTTGTCTATTCAACTAACTATTAAGATTTACAGTCAACAAAACAAACTTGATGCTTCTTCAGCAATGTTTCTTCTTTAATTCCCAAATCCCAACAACTCAACATTCTCCATCTCCAAAACAAAACATTTAACAACAGTAACACAGATTAAATAGTGAATGATTTTCAACTTCACAAGAGATCAAGCTTTACCACAATCCTTCAAAACCATTATTATTATGTTGATAAAATCATGACACAACACCCGCATAAACATCCACAAAAAGGAGACACACAAATTTCCTGCAAAACCAGATAATAACTGAACTCAAAGAACAACAAGCAAATAGAACCATGTTTACCTCTTATGAATTGAGTGAGATTCCCATGCCTATAGAAGGGATGAACAAGAAGCTTCTCACCCCTTGGCCCAGTGTAGAACCCCAGAAGAGGGACCAAATTAGGATGCCTTATCCTTCCAAGAAACTGAATAACTTCGTCCAACTCTTCACCTCTTGCAGTGCACACTGGCCTCAGAAATCTAAGCAGCCTGACCTTGTTGCTCCTCTGCAACAAAGCCTTGTACAGTGTTCCATAGTTGGATTTTCCAATCACTTCCCCTGGAGCATCCAATATGTCACAAATTGTAAGGTCCTCCCCGCCTTGAAAGATCACCAAGTCCTCCTTCTGAGCCACCTCCTCTTCCTTGTGTTCTGAACTCTCAATGTCCCCACTCTCATGTTTTGACACCCTTCTCTTGTAAAACAACACATAAGCTGCAACAATCACTAGAAAAGCAGCTGAAGCTAGTCCAAGAACTAATATCAACATGGGGGTTGTGTTCGACTTCCTAGTTCTTTCACTGAAAATAAAAAAAAAAAAAAAAAATCTGATCCTTTTGTAGTACTAGCAAGTGGACTCAATCACACATGAGAGTGTAGATAAATGAGATAATTGGGGGGCACAGGAAAATGGAAATTAAGATCTGGGTGTGATGGAAAATGATAATATTCCCATGTGGGTATATAGGACAAGGAGAAGCATGGTTAAGGGAACTTTGTGATTGTGGAACCCAATTAAGGTGTTGGGAAATTACATAAAGTGTGCAATTATTGAGGCAGAAATGATGAGGAGAAGGCTTAAGTTTTTCTGGGTGGAAAGAGTTGGAACATACACGCTGGATGGAATGACCGAATGTGAATGCAACGTGAGACAGATCTAAGGCATGTGATGTTCTATCTCAATTTGACTCTCTTGTCTATGCTATGCCCTTGTTGTGTGATGTGAAAATACACATTTGCCACACCACAAGGGTGTTTTTATTATTTGGGGTGAATCCAAGATTTATACTACAAGAGTTTGGTGTCCGACATCATTACTTGATAATGCAAATCTTGGTTGAGCATACCATACACAATTATTCACTGCATTAAATTTTGAACTATACATATTATTTCAACTTTTTACTACTAGCTTCATCTTAATAATTATTTTTAAATATATTAATAGTGTAAATGATTTTTATATTGTTATTTTATTATAAATTAATATGTACAATAACATTGACTTCTTAATAAGAAATTTAAAATTGTTTATATGACTTTTTTTATTATTAGTTGAGAATGTAAAAAAAAAAATTATTTATCCGGTCTGTATAAATTAATTTTTTATTTTTAAAATGAAATTAATTGAAATACATTAATAATGTAAAGGTTTTATAATGTTACCTAATTATGAATTATTTTATAATTATAAATTATTGACTTTTTAGTAAATTTTTTTTGAAAAAAAGTATATCTAAAGTATTTTTTTTATCTAATCGAGAATGTAAATTAATTATTTGTTTTGAATACTTAATACATTAGCTTTTGAGAAAGACTAATATGACTTTATATGTACGAATTTTTTGGTGTAACATGTACCTATAATTCTTAAGAATTAAGATAAGATTTTTATATTTTTGGAGACAAATGTCTCACCAGCTGTTAAGTATGAGGAATTTAAAAGTTTGTTCTTTTTGCTATTATATTATGTGGGTGTATATATGAGAGAGAATGCTTGTGTGATTAGGAATCTTTGTGCAAGATGCAAAATGGGAGATAATTGCTGGATTTGTGAGAGTGAATGATGGATGCATGAAAGGGATTTAGACTCACATACTCAACAACACACAATTATTTTGAAAAATCTGCAGAAATTAGTATAAGATCATTAAATATTATATATATGACCTTTTATTTAATATACTGTAATTATTAAATAAAAATTCATATTAATACCAAAATATAAAAATAAAACCCATATATATTTGACTTTTTATTTAATAATTAAGTACTATTTCATAAATTAAAAATTACCCATTAATTAGAAAATTTACATTAAAATTAAATTATAAAATGTTATTTATTATGAACGGATCTGATTGAATTTAAAACATATTTTGACTCGATCTAATTAACTTTAATTAGATTGGAATAGTTCAATATTTGATTTTTTTTCCCTCCTATCCGAACTAATCTAATCTTACTATATTTTATTTGAATTGAACTGGTTTATTGTATTTATCCGTAACATAAAAAAAATCACATTAGACAACTTCTAAAATATATTTTCATGTCCTTAATTGATAAACTTATTTCTTAACATTATAAAATACTACTTCAAATTTAAATATTAGAAACTTAAGAAGTAATAAATATTAAATTAAAACTTTAATTTGTCCAACACCACAATATACAAATCTATCTATGTTATTACCAGCATTGTAAATTTAACAAAATATCACAAGTATTAAAAAAAAAATTATAATATGTAATTGGTATACAAATGAGAGACATTAACTATGAGACAAACAAAAAATGTAGGTTTCATTTTTGTTCTTTGATACAATAAATAGGTTAGTTCCAGTAAGCAAAAGAAAAAAAAAAGGATGAATGAGTCATTTATTCCTTCTTACTTTTACTAGTATCCCTTATTTAATAACCCAAAATAAATATAATGAATAAATAATAATAATAATAATAATAATAAATATTAAATTAATTTGATGATCAATTTGGTTGAGTTCATGAAAATTAAAATTCAAGATTCAAATCCAATCAATTAAATTTTCAACTTTTAAATTTGAACCAATCTGATAATTCAAATTCAACTAATTTTTTTTTGTCTAAATTAAATTAGATCAGTTACATTTTAGATTAAATCGGACTTATGACCACCTAATATGTATAGTTGGATTATATAACTTTTATATTAAAACTAATCAAGAAAGCTCCAGATACTAACACTATTATTTAATATTTTTTTTTTTGAAGTGTTGGATATATAAAGCTCTTTTTTTTTCTTCTTCATGTATTTTAAGTCAAATAATGGTGTAAAAAAAGTCAAATAATATACGACTTTGAATTCATTTCATTAGAGATAGTGTGTTTTAATTCAAGCAATCAACCCCTTAATTTTCTTCAGCAGAAACAAAAGCCAACCCATTAAAATTATAATGTATATGAGATAATAAAAGTTAAGATTGGAGTAGGGACGGATGTAACTCTAATATAATACATTAGTTAAAGTTTTAACTAATAAAAAATAATTGAAATTAACTTCGAATATTGTTTATTATATATTTAATAGAAGTCTTTCACAATTATTTCAATTAAATTTATTTTTCTAACAACTTTATGTTAAAATATATTATATATTTACCTAAAAAAAAGTAATTTCCATGGGAGGGACTGCCTGTACCCCCTAGATCCGTCCATGATATTATTGGATTCGTTCACACTAATATAGTAATATTTTTTAAAATTACTTGTGTCTGACATATTTATGTCGTGATAACAATTTTAATATTTATAATTTATTTATTGGCTAACTATGCATTCATCAGTACACAGATCAATATTATTTTCTTCCATTTTAATTAAACATATACTCGTTTTCCACAATATGTCACTTACGTTGTTTGTTAGCATCGGTGTCAATTTTATCATCTAACAGTACAATTACTCTATATTTAGTTCTAAAACATTGCTTTAATGCACTTTCTACTTATTCATTCCTTTTCTTTCTCTTTTATTCTCTTCAACTTTCTTATTTTGATATCTAAATGTGTGTTGTTGTGATTGTAAGGGAGGTGCTGTCAATCAAAAAGCGATCGATCTCTTATTCGAATAAATATAGAGAAGTTTAGATTTCACGTGAAAATTGTTGAAATTTTATAATCTAATAAATAAACGTAGATTAATATTATAAAATAATTACATGAGTTATATTATTAGTAGCTTTATTTTATGTGGGTAAATTAAGTAAACATATTATACTACTTTTAGATAATATAATCTTAAACGAATAAATGTCAGTGTTGGCTTATTAAGACATAATGAGATTTTTTTTTTTTAAGTTGACACATTCTAAGAAAGTTAAGGTCTCTAATTTGAATAAAAAAAATCATTCTTTTTTCCTTTTATCTGAAGAGGGACTAAAGTCTTGTTTCGGTTGACAAAGAAGTTCTATTATCGGAGCTAGCATTCAATGTGTAAGTAAAAAATCTAACCTCCTTTACTGTTGTTTACCCTTTTTTTATTGTGATTTTTTTCTTTCTAAAATTTTGCTCCTTATTCCTAGGAATTATAATAAGAGGTTTATCTTTTTCTCAACCAAAACCCTGTCATCATGGGATACAAATATTAACAATATATATCCATTTTTTCCTTATCATTTATCCATATAATAGAAACATGCATGGAAAATCTCATTAACCAATTGGTTTCCTTATATAGGTCAATCAGATGACTGTCCCCGAGATATTGATAGGGTTTTTGGTTGAAGAAAATGATAGTATAGGTCGAGGGAATGAAAAGAGAATCATGGTTAAATCATTTTAACAAAGGCTTAATCATAAGTTAAGGTTTTAATAGGGGGTTATGGTAGTTCTTTTCTTTTTGTGGTAGAAAAATTAGAGATTCTTGGATATCATCCCGAAGATTTGCACTTTTCAACTAGTGTTCATCAAGGTAAGGGGAAGTGAATAATTGTGAAGAAAAAATAAACACTAAAATGGGCGGCGGGGGAAGGGGGGTGAAGGGTTGAATAATGTCAATAAAAAACTCGCATTTTTCAAGTAGTGAAGTAGTGACGTTAATAGTAAAGAGTGTTGGAGAAAAGATAAATGAAACACGATATTTTTATACTAGTTTGTTTCAATCATGGAGACTACGTCCAATTCTCAATTCAATCAGATTAAATTCCACTGACTTAAACAAGATACAAGTATTCTTTCAACAAACCATTTCTAGCTCAAACCTAAGTGTTATTTGAATTGTCTTTTCAAGTAAGCAAACCAAGTATTCTTTTGGCACAAAGTCTCTTTAGGCTTTAACACCAAGTATTCTTTTTATAATAAAGTCTCTCTATGCTCAAACAAGTATTCTTTTGCAGACAAGCGTCTCTAGGCTCAAACAAGTATTCTTTTACACATAAGACATGATACAACCACTTAAGAATAAAAGTCTTTACAAAAAGAATGAATTTGTACAAAAGTTCTTCTAAAAATATTTCTTCAAAAGTTTTATGAAAAAAAATAGTTTTTTTTTATTGTGAAGCTTCTTATTATGGAGAAAAAATACACTAGAAAGAGGGTTGAATAGTGTATATAAAAAAACTCATTTTTTTATATAATGAAGTAGTAACATTAGTTAAATGGAGTACAAAGAGAAATCAAACAGAACATTGAGTATTTTTATATTAGTTCATCGATCTTAACCACTGAGACTAAGTCTAGTTCTTAACCCAACCGGATTGAGTTTCACTATCTTTAAACAAAGATACAAATATTCTTTCAATAAGCCACTTTTGAATCAACCCTAAGTATTCTTTGACTTGCTTATTCAAAAAAACTACCCAAGTATTCTTTTTAGAACAAGCCTCTCTCGGCTTATCAATCAATTATTTTTTTTACATTACAACAATGGTTATAAATGTTACAAAGATGTTGTTTCATCTCACTTATATATTATAAACCAATATAATGTATAAGCTTTATATAAGAAAGAATGAAATTTATGCACAAGTATAATTTACAGAATATGTCTCTTCATGTTCTTTTTGAACTTCAAATCTTCTTATATAATAGCTTTGAAGAAGATGACCAGTACAACACTTTGAGTCCAACTCCTAATTAAGTTTGTTTCTTCTATCTTTAATATCTTTCCTTATAATGAGAGGTAATCGTTGACTCATTTAATGCAAACATTAAATGCATTTCACCATATAATACCTCTCATCTGATTAGGAAAGATA